ATGTCCTTGATGTGACAGAATGTAATATTTCTAAATAAACAAATATAAAAAAAAAAAAAAATTGTTCTCTGCATGACTTACAAGAGGAGCAGTGCAGAAGAAGAAGGTGTAGGAGTCATCGATGGGTTTCCGACAGAGTTCCCATGGTTCGCTGGTCTTTAAAATCAGGCGTTTATTTTGTAGAGTAATTTTAGATGTGCTGTGCTTGCGACCCGTAGTTGGCTTTTTTCTCTGTGTTGGGGATATTTAAGCTGTGCAACAAATATTCTTCTGGTTGCGGATTAGTGAAATTGCAGATGATTCTATAAACGGGGTTGTGGGTGGAGGCCATTGCACGGGTTATATAATTTGATAATAAATTATTTTCTATTTTTTCAATGATTGCCCTTTTATTTGTAATAAGTTTATTTTCGCTAGACAGTTCTGTAAAAGAATCCAGTGCATTATTCATGGATGCTATTCTCTTGAGTTGTGAAATCCAATTTTATTTGAAGTAATGAGAGTTTTTTTATGCGAAAATTGAGAAGTTTCTTAAAGACTATTGCAGGAAGTGGGAGACGATCTGTTTCTAGGCGTACTATCTAGTTGGGTGTAGATTTAGGCCAAAAATATAATGATTTCAGAAATTTGGTTTGCAAGGTTTCTACAACTTCCAAGTGATTTAACCTTCAGATCTCAGCCGTATAAAGAAGAGTTGAAGAGACAATGGCGTCCAAGAGGATTAGTTTTGTTTGCCAGGTGTCACTTTTGCTCCGTCATGGGATCTCTTTCACTCTTGCGCATTCTACCGTTGGCCGTTGAACAAAGTGTTCTGCCGTTTGGGAAAACTGTGCTGATGATAGAAAAGGAACTCCAAGATAGATATATGATTTGGTATATTCTAACTTCACGTTATCCCAGTATAGTGGTTTAAATTTTTTTATTTCTTGGGTAGAGTGCTACCAATGGGTGGTTTCTCAACAAGCGTGTTTCATGTGATTATATTCCTATGTACTCATTTACTTGATGTATTCATACTAATACAGTTGTAAATATCATAATAAAAGTTAAAAAAGTTATTTCTTGGTGACTTGTATAATGTTATATTTTTTTCCGGATTCGAAGTTAAAGAGTTTAATTCTAATATCTTGAGTTTTTTATGTGCACTGTGTCAAGATTGGCTGAGTAGTACTATGTCATCAGCAAGTAAGAACATCGAAATTTCGCGTAACTGCTAATACGTACACGAGTTGCTCCTCTGTTCCAAAACAAGTTTACTATATCTGAAATAAATAAAATGAAAAGAATGGGGCTAAGACTTACTTTTTGTAAAAGTCCTAAGGTGACCTCTATATTATCAGGATAGTTTCCATTGAGGTTGATTTGCACTGTAGCTTGGTCATACAATTTTTTTACAATTCTAATTATTTTCCCACTAACGCCTATTGAAAACAAATTTTCTTACAGAAAGTTCTGATTTATTGAATCAGAAATTTTTTTAAGTTCACAAATACACCTTAAACGTGGCTTCATTTTAAATATATATATGTGTGTGTGTGTGTGTGTGTTCGAATAAATAAAAATAATCACTGTAAATACATATTCGACCTACTCACTGAAACTCTTGTCCAACTAAAATAAATTAGCGGCACTTAATTATTTATTATAATTAAATAAATAATTAAAATATACAGTCGTAGAAGAAAACCGTTAGTGGAAGAAAACACATAAATTTGATTAGACAAGTGGGAAAAACATATGGTGATTAGTTGTTTTAAATAAATGTTTAAAATAAATTGTTATTTTAAATAATAAATGTTATTATAAAAATTTTTAAATTATGTTGTGTATCGCCTATGATTTTTATTTTTAGTTCCATATGATGTTCCTACCAGCTAAATATTTTAATAATAGTATTATTTTATTAATCGAGCGCTGATGGCGTAGATGTTTTGAGCCTAAAACATCAAACGATGAAAAGACCTATTTTTTTACTCAAAATAGGGTTGTAAGTGAAAGTTGTGTGATGTGCACACCGGACCAGATTTTTTAAAATAATTAATTATACTATAAATTAATGCCACTAATGAATGAAAAACATCAGCATTTTCTCAAGAAAATAAATATTTTAAGTAATACAACAACAAATTCTTCTCTCAAATCATATAAAACTGATATTGGTGTATAATAAAATACACCATATAAAATACTTTGAAAGTAATAAAATCCTCCTTATGTTTGGAATCTCCTTTTACGTTGGGACTGCGGGAGTTATTGTCATGGCCTTTGTGCTAAAATCCAATGTCTTTATCTAGCATCTCCTTCCTTTAATGGTTGCTACAATATTTGTGACAAAGGAATGAGGATTTTAGCTTTAACAGGTAATAATCCAGTTTATCTTTTGCTTAAAAAAAAAAAAAACCTTTATATTAAAGATTACTAGGTCATCATTTTTTTTTTAAACTTCTTTATTGAAAAATATAATAATCCGTCTCAAAGGACATGGTTGTCAATTGGAAAAGGATAATGTAATTATCATCTTTGAAACATATTAGTACCTTGATGTTTAGAATGTTGAATGTTTTGAAACTCTGGACGAAAATTCAAAATTTGACAGAGGAATAAGAATTGGATTGTGGGACTGGAATAAAATGAATCTTGAATACCAAACATAATGCATTAGAAGATCCATTTTTGAGATAATCACTATATTTAATTTAAATACGGGAAAATAGACCATTTGCCAATTTGGTGGTGGATAGAAGGGCGGCGTCAGGTAAAATATTGTCCCGGGTGTCGTCTGTCCACCAAGGAACGATAAAGATAAAGATAATTTTGTTTTTCTTTATTGTTGAGATATTGTTAATACAATCCTTATCACGGTCCGAAAGAAAAGGATAAACAAGAGGATTCGGAAATGGGTACATTTCCACGTGATAAGAAACCTGCGGGTAGGGTGGTTTTCGCGTTTTGAAGGGGTTCCACAACTTCCAGTTCTATGCAATACTTCAAACCATCTAGGCAGCAAGGGGTCCCTGCGACCTAAACGCGATATTATAGTAGTTATATTAGGAAGATTGGCAGTTGTAGGAGAAAAATAATTGTAATGTTCTATGATATTTCACGTGATAACTAGATGCCTAAAACCACAATTTCTAACTCCTGCGAGTAAAGGAATCACGGAGAAACCATGTAAGCAAATTTTTTAAAACTCAGTAGTTTATGGGACTCTCATGCAGTAACATACGACTTAATACCCGACCCGTGGTTGGTGAGAAAAATATTTTGAGTAGTTTCAATTTGCTTTACAAATATTTAAGGTTTACTCTTAGAAGACCAACAATTTCACTCGAAAAGTTTATTCAATAAATATATGTTTGAACATAATGTATATAATGACATGAAAAACACTTGGTGTGTAACTACCCAATGGTAGCACTCTAATGATATGTTTACATTAGGAGATCACGGGTCCATCTTCTTTTCAGACGCCACGGAGTGTTATCAGGAATTGAAGAGGAAGCAAGGTTAGAAACGAGAGGGTTGGGACGATTATGAAGTTTATTTTGGAAGGATAGGTATCTGAAACAAAAGAAACATTAATGTCATTATGGATGGTCCCTCATCTTAATCAGCCAATTCTGAAGAATTGTCATATCACAACACATTACAAATTAACTCCGCGTACTCTCATTATTTAAGTTGGTAATATTGGTTATTTTCTACTTATTTCCCATTATCAACAAGCAGCGGTCTCCAAATCACGACCGGCGAATATATCTACGTTTTCATGGATGCAATTTTTAAATATGGAATTTAGTAAATAATTCAAATATATATGGTTGCTACAACTTTTATTACCTGATTATTTAGGAACAGTGATTAGATTTTTAAAAATAAATTACTGTAAATCCTACTTTACTTTGGGACTTGATATTTTATTTTGAATATCACATTACTTGGCAGGCAAAAACATTTTTGTATTCCTAGAACATCCCTTTAGCCTTGATATTACACTGTTCCAGTCCGCCAGGTGATTTCAAATTCAAAATATTTCTACTCACTTGGAACCCCCATACCAGACTGAAACGACCCGACGTTTTCGACTTCTATACAAACGCTTTAAACTTCCAACTATTTACAAAAGACTCATATATATTACTATAATATGACCTGTTCGGCCTTACGGGATCGAACTTTGGAGCTCTACTAAACCATCAAATTCCTCTCGTATCCAATCCCTACAATCCAAAATCCTTCGTAAAATCCTCAATGCTCCATACTTTGTCACAAATAGAATCATCCATAACGACCTTAATGTACCATATATTTCCGATTTAGCTCAATCCAGATACCTATTCTTCCATAATAAACCATCCGACCCTCTTGTTTCCAACCTTGCTTCCTCTTCAATTCCTGATAACCCTCCGAGCCGTCCGAAAAGAAGATGGACTCGGGACCTTCTGATATAGAAATATAATTGGAGTGCTACGAATGGCTAGTTTCTCTTCATGTTGTACACGTCATGTTACTTGTTTCATATTTACTTGTTGTATTTATCATTTAATACAGTTTTAAATTTCGATAATAAAATTAAAAAAAAAAAAGATATATTAATATTTGCTGTCATCACGAGAGAATGAAGTACACTATGTGGCCCGCAGGCCAAACAATGTGGAGACCCCTTAAATAAGCAACGAGAAACTGGAGGAAGGTCTCCGATATTCACGTTAATCATTCACTGGATGCTGGCGATATGTGTATCGCTCTAATTACTTTATCAACGTTTCGTTTCGCCGGTTCTTGACAAAATATCAGCAAAGGAAGATGGTTCTTATGAAAATTTGTTTTTTTTTTCAGGTTCTATGCTGGTGTAGTAAGAGGATGAGGAATTTATGAAATGAGTGATAACTATAAGAAATGGGAGAGAATGATGGAATGAGCGAGCGGGGGGGTGGGCAGCGTGGAGGGGAGGGCCGAGGTAGGGGCGATATAGTCCTTAGGTTTTTTAGTATCCACTGTGAAGGGTGGGTCGATAGGCTGCCCATATTGACACTGCTCCCTGCCGATGACGTCATAGCAGATTCCCCCCACCAACACCCCTCCCAGGGCTCCTTCGCTCAGTCCCCATCACGTTCCCAACTAGTCCGTATCTTATCGCAGTTCATGTCCTTTAATTGAATATATTTAGATAATTGCTTTTGTTCGACTGCATCCGCCTACTATTCGGAGAAATATTAAAACATATATATATTTTTTGAATTTTTTGATAATCAATATTTAAAAAAAAAAAAATAAAACGTTATTTGTACAATCCCCGTTTATACTAAGTGTTGATTACCATTTGACTTTTTTTTTCTATCGGTTAAAAGAAAAAAAAATCTAAAAATGTTCCGAGCATATGGAACTGCCCCGGTCGAGGTACCGGATGTTATCTACCCTTGGAACACCCCAATTTTCAATAAAGGTAAGGACAATATTTATTGAATATTGAAGAATAACTTCAAACATAGCATATATATTTTTAAAAGGTTTACTATTATTATTTTATTATCATATTATTATTTGTGTAAATTTTATGAAAAACATCTGTTAAAATGGTAGGTGTTGGAAAAAATCTAAGAATGAATTTGATTATTATCACCGGATGTTAATGTTATATTACTGATTTTATTAATGTTACCTATTTTGATTTCATAGGTTAATTTATATTTGGATTTTAAATTGAACGTTACATTCTGTCTCCTAATAGAAACTATAGATCCGTAGACACATGGAAGTTATAAATTCGGTAATTGATGTTATATCAGTTACATGAGCAGTTGTGAACTTATAACTTTTTTTTAAATTTATAATTGTATGAATTTATTTTTGACCTCTGAGAAGTTCTATTTTACATAGGTTAAATTAGAACAAAATATACATATGTGTCATAAAATACTATTTCAGGTTTTAGGATTATTTTTTTTTTTTTTATATAAACATTCGTAAGTAGTAAGTTATGTGTGTAACAATTTAAATTGAACTACTTTACGTTTTTTTGTTTTGTGTGATTGTTGTTTCGAAAACCAATATTGTGAATTGATAGAAGGAAAATTATTTGTAATCGATTGAGCTCTGATAAGGAGCTTTACCGCCATCTTGAAACTTGAAGAACACCCACAAATTTTGTTTTATGGATTCTCATATATTCCTGCATAGCTTTATTGATCTGGGCCCTGAAATCCCGGCAAAAGGCCTGGCATTCGAATTGAGCTCTCTATCCTGAAACATTTTTTAGGCTGTGTTTAGTTTTTAGCCGTATTGCTTGTGATCTAATTTAAAAGCATTTAAATCCTTTCAAGTACTTGTAAATTTTAATTTGCTTTATTGTTAGATGTGGATTTATAAATTAAAACATTTGAAGTAGTTGTTTAATATTAAATGACGTGTCACGTCGATTTTCTTATTCGTTTCACATTTATAAAGAAGTTTTAATTTTTCTGGAACTCTTTTGAAATCTTGTTTTACATTGTCGATTTTCCACTTCTGAAATTCTTTATCAAATTTGTTAACAATGAATCATTTTTAGAAATATGCTGCTTTAGGTAACTTGAAACTGTTGTAGTTTAAATGATCATCAGCAATATATGAAATTAAATATTTTATTTCAGGTTATTGTTTCTTCAAGTATTAATCATTTTATAGCTAGTGTTTCAGGTGTAACCTTATACAAAAATAAATTAAATTCTAATTTTGACGTATGAAATGTCAAAGCGAAACCTTCTTGAGAAAATTAACTATTATTAAGTTGATTCGAACTGCTCTTTTGAACAATGAACATTGTCATTTTGCAAAGGGAGGAATTTTTTTGTTATACAAATATAAATTTAAGGGATTTTGCCATTTGCTATAACCGAGGGTACAAACCCCTATTTGCTAAAATAATTCCAAATGGTTGCTCTCCCGCAAGTGCGCGCGCACTTGTACTGGTGGTTGCAGAAATTAGATTTATTTTGTTATAGATTGGTAAAATTTATTTTAGAAGCAGAAAATTTGTCATTTATTCCTTCGGCACCTATTAGGGATGATCGGAGAATAATGTTCTGACATTTGTAGATCTTTATTGTTGTATCGTAGTGGTTTGAGCTATAACATATTGCCAAGAAATGATATGCCCTCTATATTGGAAAAATAAACATGTTATTTATTTTGGTCGAAATATAATACTTGCGAGGCCCCGCCCATCCGAAAGCGAAAGGAATGGAGAAAATTGCACTGGCAACCTCAGGCAGGACTGTCTTGTTTCGTAATTATATTTAGGTCAGAATAGTTCTGCTTCAACAGTTTTTTTTTTCCTTCTTACTAAGGTACATATATAAGGTATATGTATATATATATGATATCCATTGATTTGCTGTATAAATACATGGTAAAGCATAGTATAACATCTAGACATTTTTTATTAGTATTTCATATTTTCAATCATATATTTATTTGTTTAATGATTTTAGCGCATTGTAAATATAATTTTTATAAAGGCATATTTAATTTAAGAAAATTATAAGAAATAAGGCTTTGAATTACAGTCTGACCCGAAAGAATTCCAGACAGTTAGTCGAAACTTGATTATCTACACATGGTTATGATTATTATAATCCACAATACTTAGCCAAAAATAAATTAGAACTTCAAAAAATTATTTACTGTGAAATGCTCCACATTCCGACTCCATTATGTCAAAACTCTCACGAAGATGGGTTTTGTGGCAATGTTAAAGATTTTCTGGAATAAATTAAAATATTTTATAATTATAATCATTATTATATATTTTTAATGATTTTAACTTAAAAATTGGATACTTGGCGTTCAACATCCGGATTGATCGTTCCGTTGTATTTGTGTGGTTTCCGCCTGCGGCTACTCATTTTTGTTGCTTTCGTCAACAAACATGGCCTTCTGAATCGGAAAAAAAATAATACAATATTTAAATCTGAATTTTTTTTTAATATCATAAAAAACAACGACGACACAAAGGAAGGTAGAATTTTTTTTAATAAATTAGATTTCGTGAAATTTATCGAAGAATTTCTCCTATCATTCTAAAACTAAATTTCTTTAAATCATTTTCGGGGTCTTTTAATTATTTTTGCTCAATATATCTCGAAATGACAAAAAAAAAAAAAAAAAAAAAATCGTTCAAATCCGTTTCTCTGACTAAAACAAGTATTTTTATTATAAATCGACTTGTCATTTAAATGTTTGGCTCTGGTTCAAATCTATTATGAACGTTGACAATATCGAGAAATCTGTTATTGAAATTCTTGGTTTATTCTTAGATATCGACTTTTTCTTTTCCTCCAAAATCAATTCTCGTTATCAAATAGTGTTGTTGCTTGCACTATCCGAACCAGACAAACCGTTTTTAAGGAAATGCGATAGGAGGAGACAAATGCGTTGACAGTCGTTTTGGATCGATCAATTGGGTCAACAGGTTCTTCGGTAGCTACCGTACCATTCTCTTGCATTGTCATCAATATGACATCCTATCATTTACTTATTATAGGCCTAGAAGTATAATTTGCTGTTGCAACTATTTATCGTAGAAGGAGATACCACCCAATCGTTTTAATCTTAATCGCCCTCTTCTTTTTTTTTTTTTAATTTTATTCATGATATTTGAAACTGTATTATATATAAAATAGATCTAGTAAATATTTGGCTACCATAACATGATAACACGTGTTAAGAAACTACCCACTGGTAGCATTCTAATAATATGTTTACATTAGGAGATCACGGGGCCATCTTCTTTTCAGACGCCTCGGAGGGTTATCAGGAATCGAAGAGGAAGCAATGTTAGAAACGAGAGGTTTGGGATGGTTCTGAAATTTATTATGGAAGGATAGGTATTTGGATTGGGCCAGATCTGAAACATAAGGAACATTAAGGTCGTTATGGATGATTTTATTTTTAATAATGTAAAGAGTATTTAGGATTCTAAAAAGGATTTTGGATTGTAAGGATTGGATACGAGAGGTATTCGATGGTTTAGTGGAGCCTCATAGCTCGACTTCGTAAGTCCATATAGGACTTATTTTAAGTGATGTATATGAGTCTTTTGTAATTAATTGGAAGCGTTTGTCCAGTAAGTGCTGGAGTAGTCGGAAACGTCGATCTCACCTTATTTGTGTCTTACATCTATAATTTTATTTCTAGCGGACATCCATCTATTATATATTCTAACAGAAGCTCCGGTCTTCATAAAATCGATAAACCTGCTGATGTATGAGGAAATTTGTAACGTGCAATGGCTAATATTATGGATTTAAATATATATATATATATATATATATATATATATATATATATATATATATATATATATATATGTATAAAATAAATAAAAAAAAAATATATATATATATGTATAAAATAAAACATACCTACACAAACATATATAATAATAATATTGTTTTTGTCTTTTGTAATGTATCAATATTTCATTTCTGAATATTCAGTGCTGGTAAGCGACACACATACAGATTTGTTTTGTAATCGCCTTGCTGATTGGTATGTGTCTAAGATGTAGATTCCAATATCCTGATGTGTACCTAATTGTCCCCCCTGCGCTTCTTTGCATTCCAAATGCATTTAAATAGAAACCTCCCTGGAATAGTTTGTCAAGTCGCCTGTATACGTGATCTAAACTTGTTGGGTCTTATCTTTTATTCAATGCAAAATTGCAAACAAGGCTCTTGCAGCACCTCAACATCACCTGGGTCGTTGCCCTCTATTAGGATCACATTTGTTTACTGATGCCTAGTCCAAGTTATCAGACGTACTCAGAACCTGTTAGATCATGATTGAGTTGGAGGCAATGTAATTCTATTATAAATATTTTAAAAAGTGTACCAATTCTTCGTGTCCTTGTATTTAGCGTTTTATATAATGTCTTGTTAGTGTATAAAAAATACCGTCCACGTGGACGTCCATCCCTGATGAAGGCGAGACCCTTTCGGACTGTATTACGTCCGAGAAGATTAGTTAATTGCCCTTAATTACTAACTATTATGGCTCGGAAATAGTGGTAACTCTTTAAAATGATAGGCCCTTTATTTCTACCATGTGTTCCTTGCTTTTTCATCTCTATAATATTGCTCGTTGGATGCATAGATTTTTTTTTTCTAATAACGAATAGCTTAATATGTGTCACATTATTTTATTTTACTTATTTACTATTACTTACTAACCTATCTTAATTTACATGCGCTCATTAAGCGTTTAATAGAAAAAAAAAAAAACGATTTTATAGAATGTATAAAACATCAACACTTAAGAAAAGCTAAACTTAATTGTTAGAATATTAATGGAAGGTTCCACACACGAAGTCTTGCGTCTCTGCAATAATGCGAAAAATCAATCAGTCGCCTTTTCAGGCATCTCCAAGACATAAAAAACAAGATCACAAATTTACAGACAAAACCT